AAAGCTCGTTTAGAGGGGATGGAGGCAAAGTGGAAAACTGCTCCATGGTCAGACAAATCAAAATTTAAAATTCTTTCTGGAAAACATGGACAGCAATAAAGAGGAAAAGGACCATTTAGCTCGTTATCTGCGCTCAGTTAAAAAGCCTCCGCCCCGACGTCTAGCAGCTTGCACATCTAGAAAGGCACCATCAGTGCTGAGTGGTACACTATAGTGCCAAAAGTATTCACTCAGCCGTCCAAATCATTGAATTCAGGTGAATCACTTCCACAGGTGTATAAAATCAAGCAGCTAGTCCTGCAGACTGCTTCTACAAACGTTTGTGAAAGAATGGGTCGCTCTCTGGAGTTCAGTGAATTCCAACAAGTCATGAAATTTCCTCACCGCTAAATATTCCACAGTAACCTTTTAGTGGTTTTTCTCAACAGCGGTAAAAAACGGCATCAGATTCAAATAGTGCAAATTTTTTCTTATCCCTTTATTGCTAAGTGTTTCTCAATTTTTTTTATGTTATTGTGAGGTTTTTTGAGACCTTTACGTCATTACTGGGATTTTTCTTTCCTGAAAAAAAGAATTCATGTAAATTAATAAATTAATGTAGCAAATGTAGCAAAAATATACAAATGTATATAAAATAATATTTCTTTTTTTTTTAAGTTTCTCAGAAGGTTCAATAAAAAAAATTGCATTTTCTGGCAATTATTTTGTAGTTCAGGCTTTACAGGGTTAAACTGTTTAAACATTTGATTTGTCACTTTCATAGTTTGGGTAAAATATTACTTTAGGAGATATTTACTTTCTATTTATATTTTCTGTGCTTTGTAGCTATCTCGTTTCCAGTGACTCCATTATTTTACTACTTGTGTATTTTTACCCTCAGACTTTAGTGCTATGTTGCTGTGTTGCCAGATTTTAGTGTTTGAGAACCGTTGTCAGAAATGACAGTCAAAAGAATAAAAATAAGAGCCAAGTTTTAATAAACTCAAACTAGCCTTAACAGAGAATCAATTTGTCTTCTTCTCGTTATTGAAGCCAGGGACTGTTTTTGTTTCTGTAAATATTCTGTGGACGTTTTAATAGAAAAGCTTTTCATTAGAAGAGTGCTGGGATGCATGACTGAGTCCTTTGATCTCCTTTATTTGTGTGTGTGTGTGTGTGTGTGTGTGTGTGTGTGTGTGTGTGTGTGTGTGTGCATATGGAAAATAACTGAAGGGGTTATACCTCTGAATATGAGTGTAAAGTAAGTAATATAATTTGTATGTACTTTGTATACAGGTGTGTAGAACTTAGCAAAGGTCTAGTTAAAAAAACAAAAACATTAACTCTAAGAAATGTTGCTGTTCACAGAAGGTATTCCCATGGGCTGTCAACCTGCTCACAGCACTGCTGTATCACTCACAACCGTGTGTGTGTGTGTGTGCGTGTGTGTGTGCGTGTGTGTGTGTGTGTGTGTGTGTGTGTGTGTGTGTGTGTGTGTGTGCAGGAAAAAATAGTGCATCTTATAAAACTTTAATCATTTGTTTGGAGGAGATGGGGGCATGGGTACAGAGAGGCATATGGCACGTGCACTCCTTAGCATTGGTGCAATAGTGCTGTCTGCTACAGAGGAGCAGTATGCACTCAATCGAGTCTGCTAACTAGGTCAAGGGGTGATATTTAACACACTGAACAGAGTGACCATAGATTGTATCATATCTTTGGTGAATCCCTGTTTATGTGTCTTTGTCACAAGCTGCAGTCGTGCCTACAACAAGCTGCAAAGTCCAGGAGAGCCTGAAGTGCTTTAGTTCTCCCTCTGGTTGCCTCCCTTTCTGATTAGGAAGCATTTTCTCTGCTGTTATCTCTGCTCTCATCCTGATTAACTTTGCATTGTCACTAATCAAAGCTGGTCTGAATCTAAGCCAAGCAGGACCGGAACACACTGTCCCTGAGCTCCACGCTAGATTCAGCTTAGATTCTATTTCAGTACGAGCCTCTAACAGTGAGTACCCAAGCTGGTTTTGAATGATTACAATATTATGCTAAAATTCTGCAGTCTACATGTGGGAATATGTTTTAAATGCTAATTGCTCGTATCCTGGAAAGCAAAGGGGGGAACTCCTTCTAGGCATTTTTTAAGAGATGTGTTCTGCAAGTGAGCTGTGGGTATAGAAAAGAGGAGACGGGGCAAAACTTTCAAAGTCCTGTCCGGTATGACTGATAACTGTCAGAGCTGGAAGGAAGATCTCCTTTGATCACTGCAGCGTGTTCTGCAGCACATCTCACGTATAGAAAGAGGCCAATGTGCACTCACTCTGTTCAAAAGTTATACACCACTTTGTGTAAAAAAGTAAAGCTCTCAGTCTGACCAGGTAGTCAATGCCAGCTGTTACAACTGCCTTTTTTAGGCATTGCCAAAATCTTGTTTTGACATTTATGGATCATTTATCAATTCTAGAAGATTAATCACAAAGGGGATTTTCAGATTGTTCTTTCCTGTGAGGTTACATTTGTTGCTTTGAGTGATATTCCCCAACATGTATTGCATGGATTTCCTCTCGTTATAAAAAGTTATACACATTATACTTTTCATTTAGAAGTGTTAGATGAAGGTTTTCGTTTGTCAGCGCAACGAGGTCCTCCAAATCGTAGCGTTTCAATTTAATTTTGCTCGTTAACTCATAATGTTCTCATTTAATTAGGTTTTTCTGTGGTAAATCCATCTAATGTTGTTCTGTGGAGGGTTTAGTGGGCATGACTCACATCTGTTGTTTTGGCCTCTGTGGCAGTTTGAGAGTTCAGGTGATTTGGGTTGTTTTTTTTTAGAAATGGAGATACATTTTAGGTTAAGTTGAAATTAGCTTCCTGCAAATATCATCCCAGAATACATATCATTAAATATATTTGCATATATTTTATGTGCTGTTAACTCATAGTCTGTGTTTTATGTATAGACTGTATATAAAATATGAACAGCGCTACAGTGACTTACGCCACCTGGTTTGTGAACTTACATTTTGATGCTTTGACTTTATCTTAATGGTCTTGATCGAGCCATGTGCCACCCTGAGATGATGGAGTTCTTAATTATCAAGCAAGCTTGGCTATCCAGGTTCATCTGTAGACTGCGAAGTTTCATCACACAGACATACATATCTGCTAATTAGATTAAGTAACGGACTAATAAAATGCTGGAATCTCCTTCACTTAAACTGGGCTGTAAATTAACACATATTACCACAAAGCTCCAGTACACCATAATAATAACAGGAAGGGAAATACAGGAATATTATCTATGGAGACCAAAGGTATTTCATTATACCTGACTTAAACACGTTTCTGTCTTTTACACAGGCATACAGGCTCTGTTATAGGCACTGAGGCAGGTATTTCTTGGGCCCTTGCCTGCTTTCATACTGGACGGGCCACAGGCTAACACATAGAAAAAAGCAACCATTCACACTCAAATTCACACCTACGGGCGGTTTAAAATCGTCCATTAGCTTAACCCCATGCATATCTTTGGACTCTGAGGGGAAGCGGAAGTACCACCAGAGTAGTAGAGCAAAGTCCTGCTGACCTGGGGGGAACATGCAAACTCCATACAGAGAGACTGCTGCGAGGCAACAGTGCTAACCACCGCACCACTGTGCTGCCCTATCATACAGCAGCAATCAATAATATCAATAGCATCATCCCCACGTTTGATTAGCACCATGGACAGCAACTGCAGTTAGAGGTTGGGGAATGGACACATTTAGTCAAGCTTACCAGGCTACATTAACAGAAAGACAGCTGTAATGTCTGCAAGCATGGAAGAAAACAGAGAAGCCCATTAACAACAGGTCCTCAGACTGACGAGCTAATCTGTTTATAGAATTCATGATTCAACAATCATTTCTAATGGAGCAGCTTCTACATATATCACACATATATATATTACAGTATGAACGCAGCAAGTATGCCTGCCATGTAATCCAGAGATGCTCGTTGGATATTTATGTCAACCGGGCCTCCCCTACCTTCTGAGCCCTTGGGAAAGTTACAACTTTATGGCACATTTATCCTCCCTGCATTGGTCGCTTCGCACGCTGATGATGACATCGTCAAGCAGCCACAATCGTTTAAGCTCGCCGTTATGGCGCTTTTGTCCATTTGTAATCTTCTCCAAACTGCTGCAGAAATCTTCCTCCATGAGTTCCGTCTCATCTGGGAATACTTGTGCTTCCATATGCACGTGTCATATAAATGTCAGTCAATTGTTGTGCCAGCCTCAAGTGGCCACTCATGGAACTGCAGTTTTTTATTAGTTCTGTGCTGGCTGCATTGCTTACACCAAGAGTTTGCTCTTTAATTAATATGTCATTTAGATGCTTATCACAAGTGTTGTATTGTTTGATATGACATTTACAATATCTGTGATGTACTGTTTATTATTGGGAACTTAAGCCAGTCCCTAACTCGTGACATTTGGAGGTGAAATGAGAGTAAAACTTCACTAACATGTTGAGATATAATACTCTGACAGTTTGTGCTCATTCTAGTTTTATTCTGTTAATTTATGGAAAATGTTCCCATATTTTTAAAGTATATTTACAGCCTGGTGAAGATGCAGGACATAAATATTTTACCGATTTAAATTCAGCCACTAGATCTAACAGCGTTTGGTGCAGTTTTACAACTTTTTTCTGAAAGAAGTTTGCATTTGATGCACGTCAATGTGACAAGTTGCAAAGGAAACATAGCTAGATTTTAATCTTGTGTCTTATTGCCATAAGTTTTTTTTTTTTTTATAAAAGATGAAATTTCCAAAATATAGATGAGAAATAATCCTTCCAGTTATCATGCTAATGTACCATCAAATCACTGACGATTACCAAACAGTAAAATGGCACTGTAAACTTAATCTGCCACGGACATTTTTTCATGCAACATCAACATGCTGATGCAAGTTCACTGAATAAACAAGTCCTTCATTATCGCTTCTGTTCTTTTTGTTGTTGTTGTTGTTTTTTTAACAGAGCTTCCGTACGGCTGGGAGAAAATCGATGACCCCATTTACGGCAGCTACTATGTCGAGTAAGTTCAGTACATCTTTAATACATAATGACTTGCTTTTGATTTTCAGCATCACCCGCTGGTGTCGCATTAATCATATTTATTAGGAGCAAACTGGCGATGTAGCCAGAAAAGAGTTACTCTTAATGTCTGCTTGCTGACGGCTCACTGTTTGTTTGCAAGTTTATGTGCTTATCTGTAGCCCTGATCGTGCATCTGAATGCTACAGAGGAACTGCTGCAGTGGCCTGTCCTCTGTATTGAACTGCACGTCCCCTCTCTGTTTCAGGGGTGCCTTTTTTTTCTTATTTTTTGTGGCTGGATGCTTTCCACTCTGGGGCACTGTGATGCTGCTCTATTTTTAGACTGGCAGGGGGAATTCATTTGGCTTGAGTTTGCTTTAAAAAACCTGCAGAGTGACACTTGAATACACTCTGCCTTATATACTGCGCATCCCTCTCGAGATGCTCTTTGTGTCTCCCTTTGTCATCATGTAAATATCATTAAAGAAGCTGCAAGACCTTGAAATTATATAACTATATAAAAATAAAGTTAAGCTGTTTTGTAATTAGGACTGTGATACTGGGGTGTTCATTAAAAGATAAGGAGAGGAGAGAATGTTGGTGTGTGTGTGTGTGTGTGTGTGTGTGTGTGTGTGTGTGTGTGTGTGTGTGTGCGTGTGTGTCTGTGTGTGTGTGTGTGTAGTGTGTGTGTGTGGGTGTGTGTGTGTGTGTGTGTGTGTGTGTGTGTGTGTGTGTGTGTAGTCTTAAATATGGAGAGAAGTATCTAATGATGACTAATTATTTCACACTGGCAAATTACAGCATTTCTAGTCAGTGACTATCTCCCCCCCTGTACATACTAAATTAAGATCAACGTAGGACATTAAAGGAAATCGCTGTTCCATGTGCAGGGTTACTCCCAGTCACTGATTCACATAATTCTGGTTACAAGACGAGTTGAATTATGGAAGAAATCAATCGTTTGTTCTTTTTTACTCAGCAGAACTGTTCTGCGGCTGTTACATAATCTGGGAACTGGCCATTCAATTAATCATCATAGTTATGGCTGCTGTAGTGCTACGTTTGTTAGATCTGATCTTTTCCAAGAAGGGGCTGAGATAGGTGTGCTGGTGTAGTGTGAGATCTAAAATCTCCTCTCTTTTTTTTCTGGTGTTATCATCTCAGTCATATAAATAGAAGGACCCAGTTTGAGAACCCAGTCCTGGAAGCTAAAAGGAGACTCCAGCAGCAGCAGCAGATGCAAAGCCAGGGCCTGTCCTCACTGCCCCTTCCCACCATCTACAGAGGTAAGAACGGCCTTTGGCTTTATGGGAAATTATTAGTAGGGTATATATATATCCATTTATTAATTACTTGTGTATTAACAGATTAATATTGCACTATAATTAAGGAACATTTATAAAGATATCTGTTAAAAAACTCCATTCTGTGTTTATTATTGTGCTTCAGAAAGCCTCTCAGGAGCTTTAATTATAAAAGCAGATGCAGGAAAATTCTCTTAATACCTTCAATTACACATGCAAATGCTGGGAAGGTGCTTTAATGAATGTGATTCATTCTAATTGTCAAACTAATGATAAACAACATGAAATAAAATAAATTCAGTATTTGAGCCCTAATTCTTCTAGGTCCACTTGCGTGTTAATTTTTGGAGTCCTTTGCAGGTGTTGTTCAAAGCATCTTTAACAACAAAGTTTTGGGGTTGAGTTTTTAAGTTGATTCTGTTAATGCAATCCCAGACTAAGTCCACCATGTTCAGATCAGAGCTCTGTGAAAGCCAGATACCCTCTTAGAGCACCCCTTGGAGACTGGAGCAGACTTTTCAGGCAATATATAAAGCTAATATATAAACAGTAATTTATCTAATCAGAACAATCTTTGTGTAAATGTAAATATAACTGACAATGACAGGCTTAAAACACCTGTCAGTAAGTGAAAATTCATGTGTGCTGGACACATAAAATACATAAAACTCAGGGTCTGAGAAGGGGCGACTCCTTCTGGTTGTATAACCAGTCTAATTTAAAAAAGTCTATAAGGAATTGACCCTATGAACTCGGTAAAGAATTTTTTTGATGAGTTTATAGTCTCGATGGATATATTTAAGTCTTGTTAAAAACAATGTGGAGTTTAATTTGTGAATTATCCTCCCAAATAGATAAATACAGATAATAATAAAGCAGATTATGTTTTAGTATACACTGACCTTAAGACTGATCTTATGTATCACATCCTGTATCAGAAAACTAAGATGTTAATTTCCCAGATATGAATTTCTAGGCTTGAAAATGAAGCAGGGTGGCAACGTAACAAGGTGTTAAGCCCCTCATCCTTGAATATTATGTCCAACAGCGCTGCAATCACTAACACTTTCAAACAACATAAAATTATTTGAATAGATGTAGCAAACTATTTACGCACTGATGCAATTTTATATGGCCATGGCCTTAGAGATACACACAAGGTCATATAATCAGGAAAGCTGCATGTACGAGTAAAAAGCTGTTTGAAAGAAAAAGTAAGAAAAAACATGCATGTTACCAAAAAATAAATACTATGGTAATTTTTTTCCCCAAAGGCTTTACTCATAAAGATTATTTTTATAGTGATTGACGGTAGGATATATCAGTCAGTTCACACCTATGCCTCATTAAAACAGTGGGTGGAATGCATTTTGGTCAGACTAATAATACTTATTGCCATATAAACAGACGTCTTCCAAAGAGAACATGTGGGTTTCAGGGTGATTCACTGTTTTGTTTAATGACTGGTTACCTGATTCTGCTCTCTATCAGTTTGTTACAGTAGGATGTGTACTGCTAGAAAAAACTGTCTGGATCCGAGAAGTGGAGGTTTGTTTCTGTAGTAATGTTGTTAGTCGCGACTCTGAGTGAAGAGCCTGTTTCTTTTGTTCAGTCCAGTGAGGCTCTTTTTCCTCCTCTCTACCCACTTCTGCCTCCTCCTTCCTTCTCCTCCTTCTTTTCCCTTCAAACTTTGACACCAGTGGAGGATGCCAGCCCCTGTGCCACCCTCCCCAGATCCCCCCACGTCCAGGTCGGCCCGGTGCCCGAGCGCTGCCATAGCCTCAGCGACCTCTCCCGCTCGCCAGCTCTGGGCTGCAGGACTGCTTCGTATACCAAATCCTCCTCCGCCGATGTCTCCCCGCTCCGGCGTGTTCTGACTCGGCGGATGAATATGTGCCCCAATCACAGGCAGAAACAGCAGCCCCTTCACACATCCGCCTGCGCTGTAGTGCTAGAGCAGCCAGTCTGTAGCCCCTACTCCCTGTGGCACTTTGTCAGTAAGTAGGCCAAGAAAGATGCACAGGAGGCTGACTCTTCGCTTGTTTGACGCAATGTAAGCATGGTAACTGGCAGGCAAGCTTGTTCCCTTGAGGTAGTTTTTGTGCAGTGACCATGCCCTGTCACCTGCCCTATCACCTGGGAAGAGCAGGTACAGAGGGGCATCGCTTAGTCTGGACCAGTGACTGCTTACAAAGGATGCAAAGTTGCACGCTAGCCATGTCTCTTTTCCGAGTCAAAAAGATCAGGGACTTGGTTAAGTGTGACTAAGCTTGTTGGCAGAGATCCTCTCATTCCGACTCCAGGCGCTCCTCCATCAGAAAATTTCCCAGCTCTTCCTCCTTCAGAAATCTCCCAGTTCTTCCCTAACCTCCCTGAGCATCTTCTCCTGGAACTGATCCCTGATTGGCAGCATGGCATTTGCTGAATTTTGCTGCTTTCTTTGCAAATTTGGGATGGAACTGAAGAAACTGCACCACTGTGGCTGTCTGCACCTCTTCTGCCCACTGTGTCCCAGCATGGGAGGCGAGGACAGAATGTCAGTTTAGTGTATTTTAGGTGTGCCAAGAGGGACTTGGATTGCATTGGTGCCCTGCACGGGAGGCAAAACGTTTGACCCACACCTGCATCTTTCAACACCGCCTTTGTCCGAGTGTGCTGTTTTGCTACTGTGGTCATACCCTTCCAGTTTTCCTGTGGCTACACCCGTATCTTATTGAATAAGCTTTGCCCTTGCCCCCCACCCTGTGAGCGCAGCCCCTGCACCAGCTTTTAGGGCCTTTTAGTGATTGCAATAAAACTTGTAGGGAAAGACATTTTATTTAATTTGCTTGTTTTTATCCTTTTGTAGAGAAGCCGCTGTTCACGCGGGACCCCACCCAGCTGAAAGGCAGTTTCTTGTCCACATCACTCCAAAAGAGCAACATGGGTTTTGGCTTCACTATCATTGGAGGGGATGAGCCCGATGAATTCCTCCAGGTCAAAAGCGTTATCCCCGATGGGCCCGCCGCAGCAGATGCAAAGATGGCTACAGGTAAGCTTCAGGCGTGACTGACACACAAACTGAGAGAGAGGCTATTTTCACTGAATCACTTTTCTTTACCTGTAGCTAACCAGGAGCTCTCTTGAGGCAGTGTTAAGTACGTAATCCATAGCCGTATTCACACACAGACACCGAACGATGATCTCTGCTCAATAAACTAGAAGCTGAAGGTCACGTAGATAAGTTATCCTTGCAAATTTAAAATAATGGCATTTCTCATGGCTGGCATGCATTTGCACACGATCGCGCTCACAGATTGTTGCAGAGAAGAGCAATTATATGTGGCCTTTCTGCTTGCAGTATCTATTCTATATATCAGCATGCAGTGAAAGAAATGAGGTCAGCCTTTCTTTCAGAGTGCAGCCTAAACAAAGTCAAATAAAAGCTCATTAAAGCAGCACACAGTATAGTATCTATTTCACAGCAGTACTTACCTGAGCTCCCCTTGAGTTTTTTTGTTATATAGAACTTTGTGCTTGTAATGATATTTCAAAGGGAACGCAGCTAATTGCATGCCAGCTTCAAAAACCTGACATTATGAATGATACAGAATTATACTGCCAGTAAAAGGAGCTCTACCCCAGTCGGCTGCAGTTTTTGCTTCTTGCATGTCAGTGCCATCCTTTCATATTCTTCCACTTATTTGATTCAGGGTCACAAGACACACTGAAGCCCATCCCAGCTGTCACAGGGCGAGAGGCAGGGTATGCCACAGATAGGTCACCAGGCTATTGCAGGGCTAGCAGAGAGGGACATACAACCATTCAAACTCACATTCACACCTGATGCTTTATATCCATTTACACTGTTTTGGTTTGAGTTTTATAGATAGAGATATGTATGCATGTCATTAAATATAATATTATGACCCGGTTACTCGGGCAGCGCAGTGGTTAGCATTGCTCCCCCTGAGTTAGACTTCACCATCTGGCCGAGGCTTTCTGTGTGGAGTTTGCATGTTCTGCCCATGTTTGCGTGAGTTCTCTCCAGGTACTCTGGCTTCCTCCCAAAGAGATGCAGTTAGTGGGGTTTGGCCAATTTGTGATTATAAATTTCCCTTAGCTGTGAATGTGAGTGCAAATGGTTACTGTCTGGTGGACACCACTACTCGCCCTGTGGTAGCTGGGATAGGCTAGAGCCCCACTCACAAGGACCATGATAAGGACTAGTGGAAGACAAGGGATGGACCCAGTTACTCAACAACAAAAAAACACAAACGTGCGTACCTTTTAAGAAAGGGCAGTTTTACTTCTAGAACTAATCAAATGCAAAAACAAAACAACCTGCTCCTCCCGTTCAGCACATGAAAATCCACATCCTCAAAAAAGTGTTCACCTGAAGACAGAGGACAAGTGGAGCAATGGCAGTGTTCAAGTTCACACAAGCCCTCTCCTTTAAGTTACAAAATAAATAAATAGAAAACTGCATGGTTCACAACAAACCACTAATCCAGTTGACTTTCGATTAGATCCACATCCCCTACAGACTTCCAAATAGGGTCCCCAAATCTTTTCAGACATCCTTTGTTTGTCCTTCAGTGTTTATGTTATTCATTCAAGTCTAAAGCTATTGTATTTTAAAAAGAAACTGAGGTTTAATAATTGTGTTGTAATTCTGTTTTCTGGATCCAAGCCAAGTGTTTTGGGGGGGGGG